GTGGCCATGTATTTCATGCCACGTGTATCTCCTCCTGGCTCGTCGCCTGCAACTCTTGCCCTCTCTGCCGCTCCCCCATGATCCCCGCCGTCGAACAGTGACTTTGCAGTTTGCGCCATCCCATTTAATTTTTCTGCAGTTTGTTTATGTAATTATTTATAGGTTTGGTTTGCCGCACCAAAATTAATTTGTAGTACTCTTTAGTAGAAATTGATTTAAGTGTTTTTCAAATAATAATAATTATTAAAAGAATGGTTCGAAAATACTACAAACAAACATGTATCATCCGATTTTATTTGTTTTTATGAAGATAACATTTTTTTCCTTGTTGATTGAACAGAATGTTGACAATTTAATTGGATAATCAAGTTTTGGCCTTTTCGTAATAATTTAGCAAGTCATTCGGCTAGCAATTTGTTATAATCACATGTCTTCGCAATTATTCTGTCAAGTTATATACATACATACATACATACATACATACATATATATATATATATATATATATATATATCTTTTAGTGCAAGTGGCATTTTATACAAATGTACACTATAAAGAGGGGAAGTTTGAATTCGAAACGTAGTGGATTAAAGATAAAGATCCTAACACAGAGCAATCCACCGTTTGCATATAGTGTAAACCTTTGATTTGCTAAACATGTGTTAAGCTTCAATTCCTAAGTTTTGTCTCATAACTCAACAACCAAGAGTTCCAATTATTTACATATTTCGTTGTGAATGTGGCTTTTTGTTGCCATATATTACTCCCGAAGTTAGTCATATGCTTTGTACGTCATGTAGCTCTCTGTAGACAAATATTTCCTGAAGTTGGTCATATACTCTGTACATCATAGAATTTCCGAAAAATCAAAATGAAAGTTCTGAGGACTAAGTGAAAAAAAAAATTATTTTAAGGGAGGACATTGCTCAAGTTTTCAAATATTTATACTATACTAAATGTCATAAATTATAATATAAGGTATGGGCGGTAACAACAAATGCTGATATAAACTTGAAAAAGTGGAACTAGACACCTGGGAGGCCGCAGCCAGGGCCGGTTCAAAAATGCAACCTTGTTGGCTAACCGTGTGTTGAACATTACATAGATATTTTGGATGGTCAACTTTAATTAATTTGTATTCCCACCGCTTTTACATTTTTTGACGGATAAAACCAAAAGAATTTGTTCATAAAAGGTAGCAAACTTGGGTTTGCGTAGATTTTATAATTTTTTAGGGAAGAAATCCTAACAAAAATTTAAATAATTTGTATTCCCACCACTTTACATTTTTTGACAGATAAAATCAAAAGAATTTGTTGATAATAAGTAGTAAACGTGACTTTGCGCAGATTTTATAATTTTCATTTTTTTAGGGAAGAAATCCCAACAAAAACATCATGAATTTGATCATACAATTGTTTTTTAGCCATTATAAAAAGTAAACTTACTAGAATGAGATTAATAGGAGAAAGACAAATAGGATTTGAGAGCCACCAATCACCATCACTTGGTCAAATGTAGCACAATCTTACCAATATATATATATACAACAACAAACAAGTCTTGTCTCACTGAGTATAGTCAGCTGTATGAATCCAAGAATGCTACTGCACTTGGTTTTGCATCAATTCTTTCGTTAGCTTCAAGTACTCCATATATTTTCTTCAATCTATTTCCATGTTTTTCTACGTCTCCCTCTATCCCTTTTTCCTTGAGCATCCTTCATAGTTGCATCTTCTAACAGGAATATTTGTATGTTTCGGTTCACATGTCCAAAACACTTTAACTGATTTTCTCTCATCTTATCTTCAATTACAGCCACCCCTTCTTTACTTAGATATCCTCATTCTTAATGCTATCATCCTCGTGTGCTCACCAATCTAAATCTTACCAATATATTTAAATATAGAAGAACATTATGACAAAAAAAATATATAGAGATAAAAAATTGACAACGGCCTTTGAGGACAGTTTCTATTACCATTTTGGCCCAAAATCAGTACCACTCTGGATCACGACTAACTCAAATTAAAAGGGGGAAATGGGTGGCCACCTCTTTAGCCTAAATTGCTGGGTCGCTCCTGTGAATAATCTACCAAAAGAAGAAAAGGTGACCCAAAAAACAAAAAACAAAATTGACTAGTCTCAACAATTAAATGTTCGTTTTGTTGTTAAAATATGAATAAACTGCCGATTTGTTCCTTGAACTATCACTCAACTTTCGATTTCTTCCATGAACTTTTTAATTGGAAAATTAAGGACTTAAACTAATTTTTTTGACTGATTTGCCCCTGCTGTTAATTTTTCATTCATTCCATCCAAAATTCTGTTAAATGGAAGCATGTGAACACCATGTGTGGGTAGTTCGATCATTTCATTCTTTAAAATAATTAAAAACCTTAGATTTCTAAAATGTAAACCTATGCAAATATATGTGCTTCTATAGCTTTTGTGTCTGAAGGTCTAGTGAAGTGACGCTTTTGTCCACAAAGAAGAGTTACGTGGTTTGCTCATGATAATAGTTAACGTTAATTTAGATAAAATCTATGAAAAACTAACGGTAGGGAGAAAATCTGCAAAAAAAAATTAGATTAAGTCCTTAATTTTCCAATTAGAAAGTTCAGGGGAGGAAATCAAAAGTTGGGTGATAGTTCAGGAGGCAAATTAACAATTTACTCTTAAAATATTTATAGCTCAGTTAGTTAAGAAGATCCACACCTTATTCGTTCGACTTACATTTTGATGAGACTCCAAACACAACTGTGTGGTGCAAGTAATTCATCATTGTCCAAACACAACAATGTACTTCCAAAAATGCCCCCAGTTTAATGGTGTAATTTCAATTTTGTCTTGACCGTCCAGTTTGAATCTGGGTCGTCCATTTTTTTAGACACTGCTCAGTTCGTCCATTTCATCTTCTCTCCTCTCTCCGCCGAACACTCAACATCGTGCTCTCTCTCAATATCACTTCCTACTCGACATCGGTCCCTCTTTCCCCTTCCAAACAAACCCATAAACACCCCAAACCCACCACCAATCTCACTTCCTGCATCAAGATTCATACCTTGCATCTACAATTTGGTGAAGGTTCGAAGGAGATTGAAGCGAATATCACCACCTTCTCTTCTTCCTCAGGTAAAAGCCAACGACTTTCTCTTTCCGAATGCCTTTTTATTTTCTATTTTTGTCTTTGAGCTTCTGCTTTGTGGGTTTAAAACCGAGATAGGGAGATGATGTTGATGTATGGAACGTTATATACTTCTGTCAATTTGTAGTTCAATATTTGATCAATTTACACTAACTCTCTGTATGAATCTCTGTACAATTTACAAGTAAACTGCCAAAGGCTCTGAAATCAATACTATATTTCAAAGCCTTAAATTTCCGTAAATAAAAATTCCAACATCAAAAAAAAAAAAAAAAGAAATCATAGTAATGAAGGAGGAAGGCAAGGAGAGGACAGACCTGGGTTCGAGGCACTTAAGGGATCTTTAGAATTCTGTAAAATACTTTGTGCCTTTTTGCTATTGGTGATGATTTTTCATGAATATTTATGCTTTAATATAGTTGTTACAGGAGCAAGTTGTTTGACTAAAAACCTTAGAAGATTAGGGTAGGGTATATGGAGGACAAATTAGCGGGAACTTGGGCTTTCCACCATAAACATTGCCTTTTTGTGTGATTGTATTAGTGTTTTGTATATTCATTCATAATTTTCAAATGTGAAGGAAGAGACCTAAATATATAGAAGTTTTAGAAACTAAAAACTGAAATATCAAAATGGCTTATCTTAAACGGGCTAGCATGTGAGAATTAGACGGTCAAATAAATCTTGAGGAGTAAAATCGAAATAGATGGTATGAATATTACATATTAGACCGAATTGGTTTGAGCATGATTGAATTGATTGCTTTGAGTATGAATGGTTTTGAAAACTTGGATTCATATAGGATTTAAGGTTTAGGGCATTTTTTGCTTGGATAAGGCAATACTCTTCAACTTATTTTCATTGTTATCAATCGCAATGCACACCACATATATTTTGTTCTTTCATTTTCGGTAAAACTACCATTTATTTACATTAACTAGTTTCATTTTTCTGATTTGTAACAGCGAAATTAAAACAGAAGAAGAAAGTTTTGAAGTGTCGATTAGTAAAGAAGAAAGTTCACTGCTGATTAGTATCTATGTACCTAGAATATTTTGGAAAAATAAGCAGTTCAACAGTGCTCTAAACTTGCAAAATGTTATGAACCCCCACTTTTCGACACTTATTTTTTTATTATTGTAAATAAGGTTGTAAATATATTTCCACACGTATGTAAATAGTAATGTCTATCGTACATATTTAGAACTTTCAACATGTTTTATACGGTTTTAAAACCCGTAGCATCGCACGGGTAATTTTTGCTAGTACTACTACTATAACTTGAAATATAAGCTGGGGTTGTTCCGAATGAAGTAAGAAGGAACAGAATCACTGGAGAATCGTCTGTGTTTCACTTGAGCAAAGACAACTTACTTTTGAACCATAAAACGAATTGATTTATGCTCTGGCGAGAAAAGGTTTGAAACTCCTCACTCAAATTCGAACTTCTACAGACGCATATTTGGGCAACCGACTCTACTTTCACGTATAGTTTGACTTGAGTGCAAAATATACGTTACGGTACCCATATAAATGTGTGGTGGCAAACCCAGTCCAGCTCCACGTACACAAAGAAGTGAGAACGGATTCCCTCCACCACGGATTCCTTTCACCGAGTCTACTCATCTGGGTCATTGAATTTGATTCAATGGTTACAAACAACAGATTCTTTAAAAATTATAATAATTTTAACCGTTAAATTAAATTTTAATGATCTAGATAAGTAGACGTGGTGAAAGGAATCTGAAAACGATCGGTTTCCGTGACGGAACAACGTATATAACGCGGCAAACAAAGCCAGCAAAATAGGCGGCTAACTAGAAATACATAAAAAAAAACCGAGGATAGTGCGTGCTCTCATTGCCCACCCGAGCTTTTTCGTAAAAAAAAAACCCAAAAGATTGTCCTCCACAATCGATTTCATACACTGACTTCTCAAGTCTTGCCACTTCAGTTTCCCCAGAAAATGGCAACCCACATCACAAACGGCGACGGAGTTGCCAGAGTCTCCGCCCTCAACTGCATCGATCTCTCGAGCTCCGACACCCACCAATCCGTCTCTTTACTCAAACAGGTTCGAAACTTACGACTCCCGCATAAATTCCTCAACTTTTTTCTGGGTTTGACGATTTTCTGTTTTTCTAATCTGGGTTGTGAAGAAAAACTGAATTCTGGGTTGTTTTAGGCGTGTTTGGATTGCGGGTTTTTCTACCTGGTGAATCATGGAATAAGCGAGGAATTCATGGCGGAGGTGTTTGATCAGAGCAGGAGGCTTTTCGAGTTGCCATTGAGTGCAAAAATGGAGCTTTTGAGGAACAAGAATTACAGGGGATATACCCCTTCTCTCGACGAGCATCTCGATCATGAAAACCAAGTTCACGGTTTGTATTAAACCACTAGGAAAGTACAAATTCTGATTGTTTCTTTGTGGATTAAAATTCAGGGTTTTTGTTATTTTTTCATAAAATTCGGGTTTTGTTCGATGAGTAGGAGATTACAAGGAGGGGTATTACATAGGAGTTGAGCTACAAGAAGATGACCCAGAAGCTAAAAAGCCGTTTTATGGGCCTAATGTTTGGCCTGCTCCAGGTAAATAACTGCAAGATGTGGAATTGAATGCTGGTTTTCTAGCAAAATTTGGTTTTATAGTGCCCTTTCGTACTTTTAGCATCTAGCAATAGAAGGGTGTTATTGATCCTTTCGTACTATTTGTTTTCGTTGTAGATGTGTTGCCGGGGTGGAGGGAGACCATGGAGGAATATCATAGACAATGCTTGTAAGTTGTGCACTTGTACTTAGCAACTACATATGTTTTGTAGGATCAGAGTGCTTGTGCATGTGTGTCGACAAGCATGTGATCAATGTACGTTCATGTTAGAAATCGTTGTTTTCCCTCTTGGCGTTTTAAATAGTGGCCTTTACTCATATTGCTATGAGAATATCCTTTTTGTTAGTGACAAGGTTTTAGGATGAATAATTGATTAGTTTCAGAACTTTCAATAATTCTTTTCCATATTTCTTCTTCTAGATTAGTTCTTTCTAGAGTGGATGATATACGTTGAGGTGACCTGTTTTCATGAAAATCATTTCAGGGAGGTGGCTAAGTCAGTTGGTAGGCTTGTGGCCCTTGCTCTTGATCTCGACATCCATTTCTTCGACAAACCAGAAATGCTTGGCGAGGCTATAGCAACACTGCGTTTACTACACTACGATGGTAAATTTCAATAAAAAATTTTGTAACTAATTTGATCCTACAACTATTTTAACTCCTAAGACGATGTTCATTTGTTATATAGGTCAAGTTTCTGATCCAGCAAATGGAATTTTTGGAGCTGGAGCTCATTCGGACTTTGGTTTTATAACCCTATTGGCAACAGATGATGTTGCAGGTCTCCAAGTAAGAGTGCTGCTGTGAACTTAAGCTATATTACCATTATTAAGAAGGCAGGTATAACTATTGCATTATTAATCTGTTATTCCACCTATATCTCTTTGCAGATATGCAAGGATAAGGATGCGAAACCTCAAATATGGGAATATATACCACCAATAAAAGGGTTAGTCGTTCTACCCTCCGAGGGAGATCGATATCATTAAAGTGGCTTAATTCTGGCTGACTCATATGTTCTATAGTTATATCCTTCCTTGCGGATATATGCTTCATTGCTAGTAACATGTTTTGAATGTTTCACGATTTTATAGATGCCACCATAGTAGCAAATATAATGCAAAGACACCTTTTTAATTCAGTGTGGTAACATTCTTTTTTCTGTTTATTATTTCAGGGTATTTATAGTGAATATTGGTGACATGCTGGAACGCTGGAGCAACGGCATTTTCAAGTACTGCACATCTCTCTTAGTTCTGTCTGCATTATATGCTCATAGAAGATGAATGCTGGCATTTTGGAGCTGTGCAATTCATTTGGATCTTATTATATGTGCATTATCCTTTTAGAATGTTTGTGTTCAACTATTGTGATGCATTCTCCTGCTTTGTTTTTGTGCTCAGGTCCACATTGCATAGAGTTGTAGGGAACGGTCAAGACAGATACTCTGTATGACTCTTTCTCTTCTTTACTTTTTCTATTTCATGGCGTACTAGACTACATCAGTTTCAGTGTTTTTATGCTGTGTAAGATTCTTTTGTTCGTTGTGTCTATCATCTGGTTCAAATGTAAACCGTCAACTTCACTTATTGTATCTGTGCCTGAATTGTACATGAGCTCAATTACTTGATTTTTGTTTTCTTTTCTCGGGATTTACATGGCATTCGTTATGTTAACTTTCACGTATATGATATACTAATTTTTGTTTTCTATTTTTTACAGCACATTCTTTCGCATTTTGGAATTGATATCTCATTTGCTTCTTTTCTTTGGCAGATCGCATACTTTATAGAACCAAGTCACGATTGTCTTGTTGAGTGTTTGCCTACGTGCAAATCTGAAAAGAACCCTCCCAAGTAAGTTCCGACACAAATATTATGCTGGAACTATCGTATAGCTATTTTAGCAACTCAAAAATTTTATGCGGCCAAAGGATGGCGGTTTTGAAATTCGAATCATAAAGCATTTAGAATGATCTCACTGTTCATTGCATCCCTGTATCTGTCTACTTTTCCAGATTTCCCCCGATCTTGTGCCGCACTTACCTGAGCCAGCGCTATTACAATACTCACGCCAATCTGAATGTCTACACCGAACATAACAAATAATTTTGTCAGTTCTGCTGCAATTGAAGATGATTCCTCATTCTTCTAAGATAGCTAGCATAAGTTTCAATATGGTTCAACGATTGCTGTACTTGATAATCGCTACGTCACTGTTCATATTGTATCCTTCTGTAACTTCATATAACCTTGTAATCTGGTACCCTACCACAATAAAATTTCTTCCATTTTTGTTGCAGAATCTGTATCTAAGTACGGAACATATATTTCGTTCTAAATTAACGTTAGTGTGGAGTGTGTCGTACGCCTGCATATTCGGGGTTCATGGTAAAACTGGGTGCAGTAGGAAGTCATCCATAGTTATAATTAAAGAGTACTCCGGGAGTAGTACTACTCCCTCAAATAATTAATGACTTTTTAGTCAAAATAGTTTCTGAAATTGACATAACTTATCACTTTGGTACTTGATAATTAAAGTCGATAACGTGGCTCGTGAGGTTTGTCAATTGTAAATCCTTTTTGTCATTTTATAAAAAATCTTATCAATATTCTTGTTAAATTTTCACCTGAAAGACCACGTGACCACCTTTTTAAAGGTATTCTTGTCGAACGAACCCCAATACTTAACGAGAATATTGAAAAAAATTTCACGGAATTATCAAAATGATTTACGTGTACAATCTTAAGGACCATATCAATTTTTAATGTCAGGAACTAAAATGAAGAGTTATAACAATCATATCATTTTGGGTCAAACGCCGATTATTAATATCAACACTTTATATAGCTTTACCTGGTTTTTAGCCATGTTAGTGCTGTAATGGTTGAATGATTGGAAAGGAACCCACCATCTCCTTTGTGTCTTTGGTGCCATTTATATTGATCCATTTGCTTTTGGAAAATAGCGTTTCAACAAGCGCGCACTTGCTCACAAGAGGCTTATAATTAAAGTAATTTAGAGTGTACCCTACGACCAAGATCTTATGTTTAATTCTTTGCTTTATCGTTCGTATTAACAACATAAGTGCACTCTTTGAGCAAACACATATGCACTCCCTCAAATGATTCATATCAACACTAGCTTTACTTGGCTTTTTAGCCATGTTAGTGCTGCAATGGTTGAATGCATGAAACGGGACCCCCCCCCCCCCCCAATCTCCTTTTGAGTCTTTGGTGCCACTTATATTAATACATTTGCTTTTGGAAAGTAGCGTTTCAACAAGTATGTACTCGCTCGCAAAAGGTTTATCTCATGTGATTTAAGACATTTGTCTCTGCAATCGAGGTCTTATGTTTGATTCTTTGCCTTATAGTTCGTATTAACAACATAAGCACTCTTTGAGCAAACACATTTGAGAAACTATCAGAACTAGCATATGATTTGTAGACCAGGAGACGTTATGACGATATCAAAGAACAAAATGTGAAGGGAAGCTAATGCATTTGATCTGCAGGAACAAATACAATTAGCATATTTATTCGAATTTTACAAACCCTTGTGATGTACACGCATCATCTTTCACCAATTTTACAAGCACTGATACAGCACATCTTCAGAAACACACATTCTTGATAACTAGCCTCGAAGCGAAGCATAACACACAACAAACAACGGAGCCAGACACTGTTTAGCGGTAGTTTCTGTAGACGGGACTGTACATGCAACTCTCGGCATGCTTCACAAGATTCTCAGGACGAGGGAGACGCGTAGCCACGCCTACAAAAGCATAAGATGAAAAAGAGTTACATGGTGCATGGAAGAAATGATATATTTTTGGGTTAGAACTCAGAATATACCAAGGTGACAGAAAACTTACCAAGGTCATATGCCTTGGCAGCTACATTAGCAGCTACTTGGGCAGAAATCTTTCTGATGTTCGACAATGGTGGATAGATCAGCCCCTTTGCAAAATTCTCCTCGGAAACTTGCCCCGCCAAGGCTTCCGCTGTTTTTAGGAGAAAACCAAAAAGTTGAACAAACGGTAAATGCAGAAGTCGGAAAATGCGATACAAGTTCTACTTTGCATTCTTTTTCAAAATTACGTCATTCAAAATTTGCCATCTACTTACAGGCTGCCAGAAGCATGTCATCGTGAACACGGATTGCTCCAGAGATAACCAAACCCAGACCAAATCCAGGAAAAATGTATGCATTGTTGGACTGGGACGATAAAAAAATCTCGGTTATTGATACTCAAACCAATATGTTTAAACTTGGTCTTCAAAGTTCAAACTACAAGCTACTTTTGCATTACCTGGCCAGGAACAAAAACTTTGCCCTTGTACTCAAAAGGATCAAATGGACTTCCGCTGGCAAAAATTGCACGACCCTTGGTAATGGAAACCGGACAAGAATCATGAATGAGAAATTAGTTTCACTTTGCGAGATAATTCCTCAATCAAGTAACGACAGATTAATGGTAAGCGTAAATATTATACCTCACTGTAAGTATAAGCTTCTTCAGCGGTACATTCAGATTGTGATGTTGGGTTGGAAAGAGCCAAAATGAGAGGTTTCTGCAGCATTCATTTCTTAATGTCAATAAAATCGATGCTGAACATGTTATGCCTCGTACAAGAAGATAGACACGGAACAGGGGTAAGAGAAAGGAGAGGATTACCTCATTGAAGGACGATACTGCTTCAATCACCTCCTTTGTAAATGTTCTTCCAACACCAGACGATCCAATAAGAACTGTTGGTTTAATTGCCTGATGAAGTATGGATGTACGATCAAAAACCTAGAATTATAGAACTAACATATATCCACTAAAAATATATATCATATGATTCGAACCTTGACAGCATCCAAAAGATTATCAACAGGCTCATGCTCATGAGCCCAAGGCTGCTTAAAATGTTGAAGAGAATCTTTACGAGAGATAACAATCAATCCCTGCAAGACAATTCATGTGCTGCGTTAAGTATGAGAGGAAACTAGAAAAATTGATAAGGGACAGTCAGAATCTTTATCGAGAACGCTACCCACCTTTGAATCAACAAGCCAGATCTTCTTACGGGTCTCTTCCACAGGAACTTTTGTCTGTAAGAGAAGAAGAAAACTAAATAATGAAGGAAGAACATTGATCAACCGTGACTAGAAGTTCTTTACATCTCTGGATTGACATGCGGCATGCACATGATTTTAGAAAGTTAATACCCTTTTCGAGATCTCAAGAGCTATTAGTTCTGCTATACCGGTACCAGCCTACAATCACGAAGTAACAGTGGAATGAGAATTATGCTGTAGAGTTGGACTACTCTTAGTTCTCTACCAATCTGATGTAGTAAAGATAAAAATCGACAAATATATAACAATTCTTACTTCTCCAGCGCCAAGGAACAAAAACCTATGCTCAGACAGGGAACCACCGATTAACTTCAGTGCTGCCACAACTCCTGCAAGAACTACAGATGCCGTCCCCTGAAACAAGGAGACAACGGTTCAAAGCGGAAAGAAACAAAGTGTACACACCCTAAAGGCTGTCGTGCAAGCTCAGTCAGTTATCTAATTTGTACCTGTATGTCATCATTGAAGACGAGATGAGATGCTCTATATTTGGCCAGCAGCTCAAAAGCATTGTGGTTTGCAAAATCTTCGAACTGCACATTTCAATATAAAGGTACTAGACAACCTCAGAAAATGTGAAAATTTTATACTCCAAAAATCCAGTGAATAGATGATGTAACATAAGAAGTAACCTGTACAATAACTTTTTCACCATAGTTCTGCTTGACAGCACTCATGAACTCTTCTAAAAGATCCTCGTACTCCTGCAAGTACGATCAAAATCGCTCACATTAAGTTAAGCTTTATAATTCTGGAACATACACGTAAACTAGAGACTAGAGTAAGGTAAACCTTTCCCCTTGTCCTCTTTTGTCTGAGTCCAATGTAAAACTCATTATCCAGCAACTTCTCATTGTTTGTCCCAACATCAATTGTTACAGGCAAACACTGAAGAGAAAAGTCCACGGAATTCTTGATTAAAATGAATAAATATGCTATGATATCCATGATTTGCAATGCAACCCTATCATGTTGAAGTGTAAACAATGATTAGTATTTAGTAAATAGGAAAACAATTACCATTGAGGGGCGAACTCCTCCAAGTGCCGTGTACAAAGCCAACTTCCCCACAGGAATTCCCATCCCCTGAAGCATGTTCAACAATGTGGTGTGCACCAAGTTACTTTCCACTATCGCTATTTTACTAAAATGCTTATAACTCAAGGGAAAAAAACATCACTCCGCTACCTTACCTGACAACCAAGGTCACCAAGTCCCAGGATACGTTCACCATCAGTCACAACAATAACTTGAACAGTCCTTACAGGCCAGTTCTTCAATACCTCGAGAACTTTACCCCTATAATGTTCAAGAGTTTTTCATGTTATTGGGACTTCTTGTTGAGAAAACTGAAAAATCACGGCGTAAACAAATACTCGTACTTCTCTTTTAGACTTATGTAAAGACCCTGAGGGCGCCTGAAGATGCTTCCGAATTTCTGGCAAGCCTCACCAACAGTCGGAGTGTAGACAATTGGGAGCAATTCCTCGACATTATCAATGAGAAGTTTGTAGAACAGCCTCTCATTCCTCTCCTGTTAAACAAAGCAATTGAATGATCCTTTACATCCTTAAATGTTTAACACATTGCACCAATAAATATAACACACTTGAAACAGTTTCAATCTTATGGAAACGTTTAACTTCAAGAAATAAACTCGAAATCAACGTCAAACTAAACTAATCCGGGTAAAAGAAAAAGTACCTGGAGTTCCGTCAGTGCCATATATTTTTGCAACGGGACTTGATATTGTCGGATGGTATTCATCAACTTCTTCTCCTGGTTAACAGAAGTATACCATGTTAAATGAGCCAGCAACATTTTTATTTTTTGAGCGATATTCTAAACTATTCTAATTCGCGGGGAGGGGGAATCAAACTCGAGTGAGAGGTGGCGGGAACACTGTCGTGACTAACTGGTCTAACCGAGCTAACAACATGTTTGAGTTGTTAAAACATAACCATATATGTAAACCAACTTAAGATGAATACTAAGCAGTGTCATGAAAATTGAAACCTGGAGTTGTTGAGAAATAGTTGCCGGAGGAAGAAGACCGCGCAAGTAATGGGCGTCCCTCTCTTTCTCTGTAAATGCTAGCCCTTTGTTGTATTGAGGATCTCTCAGCAACGAATACCCACTGCATAAAAAAAACACACCAAAAATTAAACAAA